TCTGACCCTGCCACCCCCATCATTCATGATGGGCAGTTGGCTAGAGAGAGAGAGAGAGAGAGCGCGAGAGAGATAAGATGTCCTTTCTGGTGACTGTAAAGTATTGATCTACTCTTCTCTGAAGGTTAGTTGCCAATAGCCCTTTTGGCTGTGTTTGGCTCTAATGCAAGGTTTCTTTGAAATTTCTCAGTTCACTCCTCTTCCTTCCCCTCTATACCACACATGCATAAAAACAAGAAGCTAACCAACCTCAACACATGATCTGAAAGTGTTGTTTATTTATAGTTTTAAGTAGACATGCTACAGCTTTAAAAAATACTTTGACAAGTTTGATGAGTCTGGAACCTATAATTTGTCTTCAGGTAAACAAAATATGACTAGGGATCCTAGGCAATATGATAAGATAGTAAATAATTATATGTTCAAAGGCTACAGCACCCTGCAGCATTCAATGCAACATTTCTGAGAGAAGCCAGATAGAAAAATTAAGTGAGACTAATGTTTTATTGAACCCCCACCCCAAATTATGGATTTTTCTTCCTCTTTCTTACCAGTTCTAACTGAGTGACCCCCATAACATAACAGAGTGTACTCACTGTTTCTTCTTTACCTCATATACAATCACAGAATTACAATGTAACCGGGATTATGGAGCCATGGTAGGATTTTTCACATTACCAGAGTACTGTTAGGGATGGACACAATTATTCAGGAAGGACAAGCAGAGCAAAAAGGTATTGCCATATACAGGGTGTTTATAAAGTCCTTGTGCAACTTTAAAACTTTAATAGCTTTGGATCTACACATGATAGAAGCAAACTGTAAATGGCAATTGAAAGCAGAATTCTTTAAGTTTTAACACAACACAGCTCAAATTTCTAGACTTCAACATAACCGCCATCTTTCATGATACATCGTTCAATCTGATTTTCCAACTCATTTTGGAAGTTATTTTCATTTTCAGTTACGGGGTCTGAAAAAAAATGGAAAAAAAAGTTATACTTACGCTATGATAAAAAACTTAATAAATTATGCTTTCAATCACTGTTTACAGTTTGCTTCTATCATGTGTATATCCAAAGTTATTAAAGTTGCACAAGGACTTTATAATACCTTGTATATAAAGAAGATGTATAAGTGTCTGAGGTGCAGAACAAAGTAGAAGATATGCCTGTTGATAGCCTCTGGATAAAGTTCAGAGGGAAGAGGAGCAGAGGGGATGTCATGGTGGGCATCTGCTATAAGCCACCAAACAAGAAGAAAGAGGTAGATGAAGCCCTCTTTAAACACCTAACAGAAACTTTCAAATTTCAGGACCTGGGTCTCATGGGGGACTTAATTATCAGTACATATCATGGGATGGAAACAACGCAGTACACAAGAACTCCAGCAAACAGTCCAGCAAATTCTTAGAGTGTTGGGGATAAC